CAAGAGGGACCACATGCTCCGGTATCGTCCTCGACATGTGCATCGCCAATACAAGAATCACTGGAACTTTGATATAAGATATTACCATTGTGGAAAATATGGACACATAAGGCCCAATTGTTGTAAACTATAAACATATCCTTAATCCTATAGTAAATCAAGGTCCAAAATAATAGATAAGAAGGAAAAAGTGAAGAAGGTATGGAAACCAAAAGAGGAAGTCCAAAGCCTCATAGCTCGTACATCACTCAGATTATCTTCTAGAGAAAATTGGTATTTTGATAGTGGTTCTTCCAGACATATGATAGGGGAGAAGAATTATATTGACACGATTAAACCCTACACAAATATCTATGTTAGTTTTGGTGATGGTTAAAAAGGAAGAACCAAAGGCATATGGAAACTAATGTATCATTGTCTCCCTAGTCTTGAGAATGTGTTGATGGTTAAAGAATTTACTGCCAACCTAATCAATATAAGCCAGTTGTGTGATCAAGGTATTAAATCAAGCTTTAAAAATCTAAATATGTTGTTTCTAGTCAAGGTCAAGAAGTGGTTATGAAAGGAGCAAGGTCTAAGGATAATTGTCATATGTGGATATCTCAGAATAAAGGAGACTCTTCAACATGTCTAATGACAAAAGTTGATGAGACCAAGCTTTGGCATAAAAAAATTGGTCATCTCAATCTTAAAAGCATGAGGAAAATTATTCATGAAGATGTTGTAACATGATTACCTAAGCTCAAGATTGAAGAAGGTAAAATCTATGGAGAATGTCAAATAGGAAAGCAGACTAAGATGCCTCACAAGAAGCTCCAACATCTTTCCACCTCGAAGGTTCTTGAACTATTACACATGGACATGATGGGGCCTATGCAAGTAGAAATCTTAGGAGGGAAAATATATGTCTTTCTTTGTTTGGATGACTTCTCATGGTAAACTTGGGTAAGCTTCATTAGAGAAAAATCTGACACATTTCAAGTTTTCAAATAGCCATGGCAACCACTTCAAAGAGAAAAGGGGAGTAGAATAGTAAAAATCAGAAGTGACCATGGCACTCAGTTTGAGAATTCAAAATTCTCCGAGTATTGTGCTTCAAAAGGTATTATCCATGAGTTCTCAACCCCAATAACTCCCTAGCAAAATGTGGTGGTGGAAAAGAAGAACAAAACTCTATAAGAATGAGTTGGAGTCATGATGCATGCCAAGAAACTTCCTTATTATTTTTTAGTTGGAGCTATGAACATAGCATGTCACATTCATAATAGAGTAACCATTAGATATAGTAATAAAGAAACACAATATGAGTTATGGAAAGGTAGAAATCCAAATGTCAAGTACTTCCATGTCTTTGGAAGTAAATGCTACATTCTGGAAGATAGAGAGAAAAGGAGAAAGATGGATCCAAAAAGTGAGGAAGGAATATTTCTTTGTTACTCCATAAATTGAAGAGCCTTTAGAGTATACAACAAGTGCACTAAAACCATGATGAAATCTATAAATGTTGTTATTGGTGATGCTTTTGATAATAAGGAAGAGGAAGAAGAAGATGAGGTTCCCTCATAGTAGACTGGTGTTGCAAACGATGTTCCACACAAGCAGTTAAACATTGAGTCTGAAGTTACAAACTATGATAATTCTCAATTGAATAAGGGAACATCTATTAGAGTTTAGAAGGATTACCATATTGATAACATCATAGGAAATATGAATGAAGGAATAGTGACAATGTCCAAAGAAAGTATAACCAACTCATTCTTCATCTCTAAGATTGAGCCTAATAATGTTAAGGAAGTGTTGGCTGATGAATTTTAGACAAATTTCATGCAAGAAGAACTTTTCCAATTTGAAATAAATAAGGCATAGGAGTTAGTTTATATGCCTGAAGATGTAAATGTTGGTGGTACCAAGTGCATTTTCAAAAACAAATCTTATGAAAATGGAAATGTGATAATAATAATAAGGAAAATTTAGTTTCTCAAGGATACGCTAAAATAGAAGGGGTGGATTTTGATGATACATATGCCCCAATTTCAAGACTTGAATACATCAAGTTATTTCTAGGTATTTCATGCATGATGAAACTCAGACGATTTCAAATGGATGTCAAAAGTTTTTTTCTGAATGGGTATCTTGATGAAGAAATCTATGTTGAACAATCAAAGGGGTTTATTGATCCCATCTTTCCAAATCATGTGTATAAACTGAAGAAATCTCTTTAAGGTTTGAAATAAGCTCCAAAAGCTTGGTATGATAGGTTTACTGAGTTCCTGGTTAACAATGGATACAATAGATAAGGAATTGACAAAACTTTATTTGTGAAGAATGAGAAAGGAAAGATCATGATTTCCCAAATCTATGTAGATGATATAGTATTTGGTGGGATGCCAGACACGATGGTGGAGCTTTTTGTTAAACAAATGGAGTCTAAGTTTAAGATGAGTATAGTAGATAAATTCACTTACTTTCTTGGTCTTCAAGTTAAGAAAATGGAAGACAATATATTTTTATCTAAAAGAAAATATGCTAAAAACATAGTGAAGAAGTTTAGTCTTGACATTGCAAGCCACAGAAAAACTCCTGATGCAACTCACCTAAAGTTGTCTAAGGATGAAAATGGTGTTGATGTAGATCAAAGTCTCTACAGAAGCATGATAGGAAGTTTACTAAATCTCACAACTATCATACCTGATATCACATTTGTTGTTAGTGTGTGTGCTAAATATCAAGCAAACCCCAAGACCAGTCATCTCACACAAGTGAAAAGAATTCTGAAGCACATCAGTGGGACTTATGACTATGGAATATTTAAGTCTCATGATAGAGATCCTATATTAGTTGAGTATTGTGATGAAAAGTTGGGCTAGAAGTGTTATTGACAGAAAAAATACTTCATATGGATATTTCTTTCTTGGAAACAATCTGATTTCTTAGTTCAATAAGAAGAAAAATAGTGTCTCTTTATCCACTGCCTCTGAAGCATGGGTACTTCTAAAATGGTGAAGTACACACATCGTACTTGTGGTACTTCATTTGTTATTACTATTCAAGTTCGAGTAAAATTTATGTTTTATTCACATACATACGATTAATGAAAAATATGCATTAGAAAATTGACAAATCAGTGACATGTTCTACAAAATCTTATATAATAGAACATACTACCACATTTTTTTCACAAAATTTTTTCAAAAAGCATTTTGACCTCTGTGTTTTAGATTTTTATTTATAATTTATATTTTTAGCTTTTAATTATTTTCTTTTATTTTTGTCTTTTATTTTATTTTTTCTTTAATTTATTAATTTAGTGGGATAAGATTTGTCATTCCACTATTGTAATTTTTGTTTGTTAATATAGACGGTATATATCATAAAATCTTATTATATGTTTTCTTAATAAGATGTAATTGAATTCAATATTAATTTAAATCTAATTATTATTGATATATGCATGGCATTGAAGATGTTTATATGATTTAAAAATATATAAAAAATATACGATTAAAATTTTGTTTTGGACTAGCCATTTCTTAGGTTTTGTAAATTATAGACTAAAAATTAATTAAATAATTTTTTTTTAGAAATAAAAATTATATTAATCAAAAAACAATTGGATATAAAACGACCCAAAGGTTCAGCTAAGAACACAACCCACTCCGATCCACCTAACTAAGGCAATAAGAGTTGGACTATTCTATTTCTAAACTTGGGATAAACCCACACTCTATTCACTATATTATCCACAATGATCTTAATAGTATTCATACTAATAAAATCTTTGTTATAGACCGCTCTATTTCTATCACATCAGATTTCATAAATTGTTTCTGCTATAGCAATCTTCACAAATTGGCTGAGCCAGTTCTTACTCCTACAAACTTTCACAGCCTACACAAGCTCTTGATCCCAGTCTTGAATCTTGTGACTAACATTCAACCACCTAAGGACTTCCTCCCAAACTTTGCTGGTAAACCTACAATCAAAAAACATGTGGTGAATAGATTCAGTACAGTTACAGAATAAGCAACTTGACTTGTGGAAGATGTCAATCTTCGCCGATCTATCTTTAGTAGGTAGCCTCTTATGGCAAGTAAGCCACAACAAAAATACTGCACGAGATCTAGTTATATTCCTCCTAACTAATCCGCCCCAATCAACTTTAGACATATGCTTCAAAAACTCCAAATAACACTTTTTCATAGAGAATTTCCCATTTCTCTCCAAATTACCCCAATGAGTCAGCCTCATAGCTTCAACGCTAAAATTTTAAAGATGCCTCTCGGGATCCAAAAACCATTTACTTTGGCTTCCATTTACATGAATATATTCTTATATTATAAGTTTAATAATTGAGAAATAATATATACAAATAATTTAATATAAAACTTTCTTATAATATTATATTATTCACCTATATATGACATGTCTTTTAAATTAAAACATCATAACTAAAGTAATAAAATAAAACTATAATATAAATTAATAAGAATCCTTATACTGTTAAACAATTTTTTTATATTTATTAATAATTTTAAAATATGTTCAATTATAAAATTATATATAATTATATTTACTAAAATATATTTTCTTACTTAAATATTATTTAAGATAAAAATTCAAATCAATCACGTGCATAGCAAGACAAATTGGTTATTAGAATTCATGTAAGATTATGAGTTCATGTAAGTGTGTGATTGTATTATAAACAGACAAGGAAATAATCAGAAGAGGCATCAAGCCATAGCTTTCTCACAAAGAGTTACCATGTATATCAAGTCAAAGTAAAATAGGTATTTTTATCTTAGTACATAAAGATCTGCATATTCTTTTACACACCTTTCTTCAAAAATACATTTTTATTTGCATAGCTGGCTACATAAAACTAAAAACTCATATTCCTCCCAAACCTCTCAATAACATAAGAGATTACACATTTGGTACCACTCTACTACTTCCCTACTATTGTTTGTTTGTCTATTCATATAGTAATATTCCTAACTTCAACCATTCACAACGGTTCCGCCTGAAAAAACATGTCAATATCAATTATTAAATTTCCAGAAATAATTTATAAACGTACACATTAAGGATATTAATTACCATTAGGGTGAAGGACTTGTCCAGTAAAATAAGAGGAACATTGATTGGAGGCAAGAAAGACATAAGAGGGAGCAACCTCAATAGGTTGACCAGCTCTATTCATGGGAACTTGAGCGCCAAATTGAGCAGTTTCTTCCTCCTTGAAAGAAGCTGGTATCAATGGTGTCCATATAGGTCCAGGGGCAACCCCATTCACCCTTATTCCCTTGCTCACCAGCTGAAGTGATAGTCCCCTTGTGAAGGCCACAATTGCACCCTTGGTAGATGTATAGTCCAGTAGTTTTGCATGTCCTTTGTATGCATTCACTGATGTTGTGTTGATAATGCTGCTCCCTTCTTTCATATGCTTCAATGCATGCCTGACACAGACACAAATATTTGACACTGACACGTCAATACTAGTAATAATTTGACTGAGACATGTCTATGATTTAGAATTACTAACCTGGCCATGAAGAAATATGAGAAGATATTTGTTCGGAACACCCTCTCAAGCCTTGGCTCATCAATCTCCTCAACTGATGAACACTCATATTGCTCAGCTGCATTGTTAACAAGAATGTCAATATGTCCATACGCGCTAACAACCTCATCAACAACTCTCTTGCAATTCTCATCAAACCCTAAGTCGGCTGCTAAAGCCAATGGATCCTTAGCTTCAGCACTCTTTGCATTCTTGATCATTTCTAGCGTGTCCTTCGCATCTTTGTCTTCATCACCCTTTACATACGTAAATGCCACGGTAGCACCTTCTAATGAAAACAAATTGCACACTGCTCGTCCAATTCCAGAATCACCACCTGTTATTACAGCTACCTTTCCCTGAAGTTTGTTTGATGGCTTGTAGTCAGGGCAAGTGAATTGAGGTAGTGGATCCATGACATGTTCTTTTCCAGGTTGTGTGTTTTGTTTCTGTGGAGGGAATTTTTGTTCACCGGAAGCCATTCTTACAAAGAAGGTACTGGGAAAGGACGTGGAAGGGATTTTGTGAGATGATTGAAAAATAGGAAGAAAGTGATGATTGTTGTTTTTGGAAGGGAAATTAGAGATGGTGGATATGGTTGCTAGAGACATTGATGATGATGATGATGAAGAAAGTGTTCGGTTGAACGTACAATGCGTAGTGAAAGACTTGAACATGGTGCACGTGTGGTATGGTATTTGTGACATAAGGATAGGTGTTGACGTGTCATTGGATTCGAATGCTTCTTCTTCATTTTCTTTGTTCATGGTTTCATGTTTATCCTTTTGAACCACCGAACCAGATCCAATAAGGCTTAACCAAATTCATTATAATCTGATTAATATTTATATTTTAAAAAGAATAAAATTATTATATATTTAACATATTTAGCTGATATCCGGCAAAATAATCTACGTGTGTTTGTTTTAGAGATTTATTAGGGATTAATTTACTCAAAAATATGAAGATGAAAATTTGATTCTTAACTAGATAAACTCATACAACAATTATAAATCAACATTCTTAAAAATAATTAATAAAAATAGAAAAGAATTTAAATTTATTTATATTTTAATTTATTTTTTAATTGGATTTATAAAATAGTCGTGATTATGAAAAAGAGAAAATATAATATCTATTTTTAATTAATTAACATTTTATGATTAATTGTATGTATAATTATTTTTTATAATTGTGTCCATTTAAGAATTTCTCTTCCTAACTAATTTTTTAAAAAGTGTTTAATACATAATTTAATATATTTAAGAAAATTGGTTTGTAATATTTTTTGTTAAATTTTTTCTCAATGTTAGGCAACATTTTGATGAAAAGTTATCACATTTCAAGGAATCTTTGTATTTTATATTGATAATTAACAAAAATACGAGTATAGTTATTCCCTACATGGGAATGTAATTTTAAAACAAACTACCTTATATTTTTTTTAATAAAAATACGAGAATAGTTATTCCCTACATGGGAATGTAATTTTTAAACAAACTACCTTATTTTTTTTAAATAAAATTGATTAGAAGAAGTATTCTATTCGAAGACCCAACAACAAAACTTCACCTCTAAATACATTTTAGAGGCAAGGTATTTCAGATATGAAAATTATAATAGAGAGAAAAAACATTAACCGATCTGAACTCCAAGACATAAAAATAATCATTGTAATACAATTATCAAAATTAAAGATTTTATCGTTGAACAAAATCACATTCTTTATCAACCAAATATTCCACACCACCGTTAGTCAAATTACCTAAATTGTTAATCTTTCATATAAATCCTTGATCTTGTGATTAAAAGAAAGATATGACCTCAACTCTTTTGCGCTTAAATCCACATCTCCCCCAATCCACTCAACCACTTTGTCTCATATTCTCCTCGTAAAATTGCACGTGTCGAAGAGATAACTAGAATTTTCTTCTTTCCTAAAGCAAAACACGCAACAACTATCCGGGTCATTCACCAATATTCCTCTTCTACGCAATTGATCTCTAATAGGTAATCAGGTAAGCAAAAATCTCCAACCAACCATCCTTACATTTGAAGGAGCACTCATTTTCACAAGAAGAATAAATCCTCCCTTACCCCTTGATTGAACTCAACCATAATGTCCCTAGTCTAAATAAACTTCACGCAATATCTCACCAAGAAACCCTCCTCCAGATCCTCAGTCCAAACGAACTCGTCCGAGACTTCATGTTGCAGAACAACTCTAAGCAATTGTTGTAACAATTCTGCCAGCAGAAAATTTTTGGTGCCGTCCGTGAACAAAAACCAAAATTATGGGTTCGAGCTCCAAATATCTTGATCCCAATGACTCCCATCTACCAGAGTCATAAACGGAACAACAACCTATAACTCCGGAAAAGCTTCCGACCGAACCTGATTTCCTATCCAGGAACTGAACCAGAAGGAAGTTTTTGCACCGTTTTTCACCCTACAATCAACCAGGTCAGAAATTGACACGCCTAGAGCCACAGATGTCATTGATCAAAATTAAATCCCTTTGCCATATATAGTCTATTTTGGATATCACCCTCAAGTTGTTCACAAACATCTTCGCTGCTGGACTTTTGTACCTGTAAAACAGTAAATTATTCCAAATAGCATTCTCCTCTGAAATAATTCTCTGCTTACACTTCATTAGTAGAGAAATATTCATGCATTCCACATATCTAATGCCTACCCCCCCCCCCCCCCCCCCCCCTTTGATTTCTCTTTACAAACGTTGCTCTAACTTACCCAATGAATGCATCTTTTACCTTTCACCCCCTCCATATAAATCTACTTTGAATGCTTTTGATTTCTTTTAACACCTTCCTCGATGCTCTAAAGAAAGACAAGGAATACAATGGTATCACGTTGAGTACCAAGTTAATTAGAACCACTCTACCTCCTAAAAGAGAGGAACCTTCCGCTCCACTTCGAAAGCCTACTCCTAACATTTCTAACCATTTCCTTCCACATAGACTCCTTCCTAGGGATAACACCTGTAACGCCCGTTAATTTTATTAACTATTTAATTAAATTATTTCCGAGTTATTTGATGAAGTTGTGAGATGTTGTGGATTGTTGGAATAAGTTGTTAGATTATTAATTAATTAATTAATTAGTTGATTAATAATAATAATAATAATAATAATAATAATAATAATAATAATAATAATAATAATAATAATAATAATAATAATGTTGGAATTAATAGTATTAGTTGTTGGACTTGTTTTGGTGATATATGTAGTATTAAGGGGGTGTGAGAATTAGGCCCAATATAAATAATAATAATATTGAGTTTAGTTATAATAACAGAAAAATAGGTTTTTGTCAAGAAGAAGAGGAATAAGGGTTGAAAGAGAGAAAGAGAACGTAGAAGTTGCAGAGCAAAGAAGAAAAGAGGCAAAGTGGGGTTCGATCGGAAAATCGTAGAGCGACCTTCAATCTAAGGTAAGGATGAGGTTTTTGCTCTATAGTTGGGTTTATGATGCATGTTACGTAGGAATTAGGTTGTGTAAAATTGTTGCTACGTGTGATTGTTGTGTGATCAAGTTGTTGTTTGGTATTTGTGATAATTATGCTAACATTGCAGCGATTTAATCAATGAATTGAGTGTTGTAAATTGTTATGTATTGATATGGGTACAATTATTATATTGTTGTAAATACGTAGTGTTGGTCTGAGATCATTAGAAGGGAAGAATTGTTACTCGCATGGAAGGTTGCAGAACGGGATAAATTATGGACGTATGTCGAGCGGCATACGCATGTTGATGAAGGGAGCCGACCGACACCATGCCTTTGTGCCGAGGAGAACGATCTTGCATGCCGATGGGCATGAATCCATTTACCCAATATTTCTTTAATTGTTCCTGTGTTTCCTGTGCGTGTCTGTTACTTGGTCATGTTAGCAGAAAATTAATAATTAGCAGACAATGTAATGAGAATTGTTGGTAGCAGTGATATATGAAAGTAATAGCAATGAGTATTTAGCAAGGATAATTAGTAAATTGCAGAATTAATAACTGGTATAGTTTTAGTTGCAGAACTAGCAGTAAATAACAGTAGTATTAGTACCCAAAATATATCAGCAGTAGAGATAACTTAAGTAGCAGGAAAATAATAGCTTCGTTAATTTAACTGAAAATTATTTATAAGGCTTATTTGCAGAATAATTTAGTGGAAGTACTTTAGTAGAAACGTGTTAATAACATTATTGACATGAGTAAGTGTTGTGTTTTTGTTACTAATTATTGAAGTTGCAGATGATGAATTTTGTTGTGTTGCCTCTATTTATTGTCAATTATTGAGTTGTAGGCTTATGCCAATGTTATTATATGTTGTTGTTGTTGATGTTGCATTTAATTATGTTATCGCATACATGGCATATCATGTTGGAGCTGATGCTCGTTAAGTTGGTCTGGATTGATAACATTAATACTATGATATTTACATGTTAATGATGTTCAGAATGAAAAACAAGCAAAGTCAGAAAGACTTACCTTGAACCTGGAGCGTGCTTGGAGCTTTGAGTTGCTGCCTTTGAATGTTCTGAGTTATCAAGAGAAACGGAAGAGAAAATGACAAGCTCTTTGATTCAAAAGGAAGAACAAAGGTTTTGGTTTTCTGCTTAAAAATTCTGGATTTTTTTGTGGAGGTATCACAACTTTCTTTTCTCTCCTTTTTGACGATTCTCTCTCCAAAAGCCAGTCCCTTGAAAGTGTGATGGAGCAACTTATTTATAGGTGAATTTGTTGTGATTTTGGGGGGAAAAACAAATGGGATTTGAACCTTTTTTGGCATTTTGTTCTCTTGCTTTTTCATCATTGTTTTTGTATGCTAGTTTGGTGCAATTATGGGATGCAGGCATAGGCTGAACTAGCGGCTGATTAGTAGCTTTTAACCATGCTTAAACTGGAGTTGTCAGTAGTATTTAAGGAAAAGCAAAACAAAGCATGGGCCTAGTACCAAAGTTTGTTATCCCAAGACAATAGAGGTACACGTGGTGAAAATTCTTTGGATAAAGACTCAGAAAGTGGTTGTGAGCATTAATGACGATGAGACTTATCACAACCAGAAATCTTGCAACGTGAGATTCTACACCAAAGCTTAGTTCTGGATCAGAAGTTCTGCTTCAGCGTAGCATCCAACCTCTGATCTTTTTATCTTTTTGCTCCAGCATGTTCTGAAGAAGAACATTGCTTCCACGTGTTCTGATTAAAGCATCATGTTCTGAACCGGAGAATATCGCTTCCATATATTCTGATTGAAGCATCATATTCTGAACCATGTTTGCAACCTCTGACTGCACTTTGCGTAGAGGCTGACTCAGAAGTTCTGAAGTACTATATTCTCTTGACACTTAGAAAATTTGCTAAACATTTAGAAAATTTGATTTTTTCAAAGCAACTTCTAACTTCTGATTTTTGATGAACCAATTTCATGCCTTGATGAAATATGATTCTTGGAACTTGATT